CCCAAGTGAGCCTCCATCACCCCTTAAAAGGAATGACGCCAATTTTGAATCACCCGGTATGTCGGTTCATTATTTTAGAAAGCAGAAAACAATAAAAAACAAACAAGATCCATGACTATTAAAACTCCAAGAACCCAAATCTTTACTGCGGGAACTAATTGTATAAATCACTAACGATAACTTTCAGCAACAGCCACTTAACTAAAAACGTGCTAGAATCCACAAGGAACCGTGTTTTTCTGAGGTTTTAATTTCGTTCGCAATGGAACTATCTAACCGGCAACGCGGCAATGAGCGCAATTAGCCAGGACTGGTGTGGACGGTTAAGAAGAAAATATGTGCATACATCAACTGTGGAAGTCAGTGATCAGAGCCAGTGTGGCCAGATAGAGCGATTTATCTGAAATTGGGCAGCTTTTGAGAACTCTTAGAAAATGCTGGAAATAAAAAACTGAAGTGAATTACTCAAAAGTTGAATCGCAGCTGGTTCTTCCAGCACTGTCCCCGGCAATCTGGAATACATGTAAACTGCGTAAATTTTGCAGGAGTAGTACGGCTGCGCGCGACGTTTTGCACTCCGCGATCCGCATAACATGCCGGACTTGAGAGAGAGAACCAAACTTTGGGTCACTAGCAGACTATTGGTTTCTTCCGGTCTCGGTAGCTCGGTGGAAGCTTTAAGCTTGGTTCTCATGGGGGCCGGAGTGCTTTGCGGAAGCAGAGTGCGGAGAGGGCGCGCGCAGCTTACTACTACCATTACTACGCGCGGAAAAATTCACGCAGTTCACATGTATCCGGATTATTTTTCCGCATTCCGCCGACGGTGTTGGCATATCTTTCGAGAAGCGAAACACGATACAACTCTTTTTTCTACATTTTTTCTTGCCAGTATATTGAGGCGTATGAAATGAACGTTTGAAACCAGAAGTTAAATCTGCTTTTGTCTTTGTACGTTCTAAAAATAAGGAAACAAAAACATCAAAATGAAAGAACTGGAGCTTCACTGGAGATAATCTAGGTTTTTACATTCTTCGCACGCCATGCGGAAAATATTAAAATTTGGGAACTTCTGCGGATGAGTGGAGCTAACGCATGCCTCAAACTTCTGATTGATAGGAAGGTTTTCCGCATTCCGGACGCGTTCCGGACCCATGAGAACCTTAAGCCTTAAGCCGTGGGCAGTGCGGAAAACCTGCGAACCAATCATAGCTCTTCCGCGCATCCGCAGATGTTTAATATTTTCGGCTTTCCCGTGCGGAAGAAGATGTAAACCTGTCTTAACTCCAGTGTAAAAAGCTATATTTCGACAGTACATCAACTGTGGAAGTCAGCGGTCAGAGCCAGTGTGGCCAGATTGGGCGATTTGTCGCAAATTGGGCTGCTTTTCGGAGAGTGTTCCCCTCGATAATTTTGGAAAAATGCTGGTAAGCAAAAATATATGAACTTTAGGTTAATCAAACGTGATGAAATGAAACATGTGACATGTGACATTTCGTATCACAACTTCATTATACTCACTGAAGTGAAGTACGCAAGAGTTGAATCGCAGCTGGTTTTCATGAAGATCTTCCAGCACTGTCGCCGGCAATCCGGAATACGCATTTGAACTGCGTTATATTTTCCGTGCGTAATAAGATTACGCGTGCACGTTCCGCACTCCGCATTGCGGACGCATGGACACCAAGCTATACGCATGCTCAATTTCCATCTCCTCAATTTCCATCTCCGACAACTCGCCAAGTAAATTCGTTGAGGAACATCAGGAGATCTCGAAATGTTGTACATCGAGACATTTTCGATGCAGGGGTGTTGGTTCGCTGTCGACTCGCTCTTGCTCTCGCGAATCTCTAGCGATTGGCTTTGCATACAGGCGTCAGTAGCTCGCGCTCATTTGAGAGGTTTGAATTTGTAACTTTTCTGTCCATATTTTGCGTTGGAAAAGTACTGTTATAACAATTAAAATTTACATCTCGAAAAAACTCACTCAACCAAAGTTTTATTTTGCCATACATGATTTCGCGTGCTGAAGGCTTGATAGAAAATCAGAATACTGGGCAAATCGGCGTAATTATAATCTAGATAGAAAATGCTTTATAAACAGAATGTGTACAATTGTGCTGCTGCGTTCGTGGTTTCCATTTATGTCGTTGATATAACTCTCCATAGATTTTGGAACGGCAATTAACCGGAAAAAAGCCGGAGCCGGAACCGTTCCGAAACCTAAATTTAAAGTGTTGCCTTGAACCGAAACCGGAAAGGAACATATATTTCCATTCGGTCCGACTCCTTGCTTCTGACTCGTTTAAAACCCCCCAATTTCCACCTTAACACGAAAAGCCGGCCTTGCTAGAAAGCAAGTATTTGTGGTCAACGCCGAAAACAACTGCGAAAGTCTAGCCCAAATTCAAAAAACTCTTGAAAACTGATAACTCAAAATTGAAACTTTTTCCCACATTTTTCTTCAACTTCAATGGGTTCTGAGAGAGTGCTAATCTCAGGTTTGCACAAGCGATCACAAATCTCGCGTAAAATTTAAAAAATCTTGATAAAATCGCGTTGACGACTCAAAAACGAAACTTTTTCTACTTAGGAAAAGGACTGTGCTCAACAAAATCCATACAAAAGTCGCTCTGCAGCTTACTGGCTTCGGAAGAAATCTGTATGAACAAGTGCAAAGTACGAACAAATTTTGAAAACATGCCCTGAGGATGACTCAAAATCGAAACGTTTTCCACATATGGGCTTTCCACTTTACGCTACACAAGTGATGCAAAAATAACACTTTCACTTCGCAAGTTCCTGAGCAAATAAGTGTCAAACTACCTGCTGAAATACCCGCAAGAACCACTTGCAACTTTGAAAACTTCGTGAAAATCACCTGATTATGACTGAAACTCGAAACTTTTTGCTTGTTCCACTGTTGTCGAATAGACTTGGTCCCACAAAATTCGTACAAGGGTTGTACGTTTTTGTACTTGGTTAGTTCCTAATTAAATGAAGGCCAAACTGCGGACTGCAAAAACAGCCTCGTAAACCAAACGCAATTTTGAAAAATTGTCGAAAATTGTCTGAAGACGACGCAATCCTCTCCACACATAGAAGGGATTATGCCTTAAAAAATGCATCTAAAATTGACTTTTTGGCTTTGCAAGTTAAAGGGAAAGTAAATGCGAAACACTGACAACTCCCTGGTGATGACTGAAAATCGAAACGCTTTCCCATTAGAGAACAGACGTGTGTGAACGTACTAAATGTATACAAGAAAAATCTGTCTAGTTTTACTGATTTTACGGTTTTTTTAATTTTTGCAGGCCAGCACCCACCCTTTATACAACATCCGGCCAGACTTGGTGCGGAAAGCCATGCTGTTCTTCCACGGCTTGCAGTCGTGACAACAGCGCGAAGTTGGAAGATTCTTAAAAAATACAGCCGTTATTAACTTTGTCAAACCCGAGATTTTATTACTGTGTTTATTCCTTTATTTAAGCGTTAAATATTTGATTTACTTCATCAAAATATGTGAATAAATTGACGATTTTTTGCATTTTATGTTTTTCTGGCCGAGAGTGCGGGGTTTGCCCAAAACGAAACGAAATGCAAGCGCTAACTTTTGGCGATCTTGAATTTTTCTCCTTTGTGTCTTCTACTTTTCTAGTGTGTAAGAAAACAAGTAGCCCCAAAAGCAGGAAATTTTCCTCCTATTCCAACAGCAACTCAGGCCCTGTATAAATAAATCACAATCAGTGGCGGCGCCAGCTTTATTTTTCGCTTGGGCAAAAACCCGCGAAACATTTTTCAATATGGACAGGATAGATTTATCCTTTTAATTGTAAGAGTGTCTACTGATCTGTTTTCCAAAATATTTTGTTTTCTTTTTTGGCCGAATATAATGTAAAATATTTTTAGTAATGTTTGTTTAACATACAAGTTATAACGACATGTTTTCGTCAAACAAGGACCCAACGGAGTTTCACAATATCTTGAGTGTCCCAATATCAATTTACAATRCAAATATACGAGATTTTCTTCTAAATTCTAAATCGAAATATACGAGATTCTACTTTCGTAGAATACCGAAATAATTGTTACAAAAACATATTTCACAACTGTGAACATTTTTTTAAACGTTATTATGTTGGAAATTCTGAGTGAAATTCAGGAATTCAGAATTTGGGATCCGAATCTCGGCTCATAGGGTCGAAAAAGCCGTGTTTCGGATCTGAATCTCAGATCCGGATCTCGCCTCAACGGGTCCAGAACCATGTAGAACCTTAAGTTTCGACGGATCTTCTGCATTCCATTCGTAACGTAAGGAAAATATGTCTTATTTATGTTGTGCAGTTTGAAATAAAGACATATAAAGTACTATAGTTTAACGTATATTTTTCAGTATTAGTAATTATGATGTTTAAACTATTCAACATTTCAATAGATCTCTCTTACAAATGGTCGTCGCTCTTGTACCTAAAATTATTATTTTTTGCTTTCAGAAATTAAGAGGTTAATTACACTGGTCTGCAACAAAATCCTCCTCAAAAAATTATGACATAAACATAAAGATTTTGATGCGCTGAATCTGTTCCCGAAGGCCAATTTTTTGTATCACATCTAGATTTTTCTGATATGTAATAATATAGAGATGTATTTTTTTCCAAAATATGTATCATAAATTTTGCTTTTTTTTATTCGTTTTATGCGTGAACATTATAAACAATGTATATACATACGAAATAGGTTTTTGCTAGTCGTAAGAGAAATAAGCAAAGTGCCGAAAATAATGTCTATGGTAGTACATACGCGCCTGCGTAGTATTCACTGTGACTTTACAACAGTTAGTTGACAACTTGTCTTTTAATTGTTTACGTTCTATATCAAATACTTTGGTAAGTTTTGCACAAAATTTGTATTAAATATATATATTTTTAAGAGTTTTACATGTCGTTTACATTTTTTTTATGAATAGAGATAAGTATAAAATAGTAGTTAAAAAAATGTTTTAATAAATTCCATTTAATTTTAGGTTATAAAATGCCGCGCACTTGTAAGAATTCTACAGACTGTTTTTGCTACATTTGTGGTGAGTTTAGTCTAACAGCGAAATGCGATAACAGATCTTGTTAAAAAAGATTATCAGCTTTATTTTGGATTTTCTATTGATCAGAGGGATAAAGGTACCAAAAATTTGCTGTAACAGTTGTTCCAGAACGTTGACAGGTTGGCTTGAAAGAAGTCAGAAATCTATGCCGTTTACGATGCTAATGCTGAGTGAACCTCAAAATCATAAAAATGACTGTTATTTCTGCTTGACATCAACACGAGGATTCTCGAAAAAAAAAATAAAAACAAGATTGTATATCCGAGCATCGCATCTGCAAAGAGACCACTTCCTCGTGGTGAAGGCAGTTTGTAAATTAGTTTAGTGGAATTCTAAACTATTTTGCCATCACATTTGGATTACATTGGATTTTTATTCTTCACTGACAGCTTTTTTCTACTTATCGAGTTCTATCAACTGTCAAAAAATCTACCTACTATGCAGGTCTTTCACAACCATTCTCCCTTTCTATGGCAATGCTGCTTAACAAATTGTATGAACATATTTTCCTGAACACAGTTTAACTCCACTATCTCAAAAAAATAGCGAGAAGACGGAAAATGTAAATACTTCTGGACTACAACCTCAATCGAGTTTCAGTTCTACCTGTACATCTTCACCATCATACACTTTATCTGGATCTTCAAGCCCATCGAAAAAACCTTATTTTCCTTAACAACCTGATTTAAATGATCTCGTGAGAGACTTGGGGCTTAAAATCTAAGGCTCAGTTACTCGGATCAAGACTGAAACAGTGGAATTTGTTGGATAAACATACGGGAGTGTCATATTTTCGCACGAGACAAGAATATTTTACTTTTCCAAAGAAAATGATTTAACCTATTGTAATAATGCTGCGGGGCTTCTTGAAGAAGTGAGTTTCCCAAATAATTCTGATGAACGGAGACTTTTTATTGATGCGTCGAAGATTAATTTGGAAGCCGTTTTACTTCCCATCGGAAATAAATACCCTCTAGCCTCTAGCACATGCAACAAACATGAAAGAAAATTATGCAAATCTGGCGGTATTACTTGAAAAAATAAAATATTCCTAATTCCTATGGAATGTTTGTGCGGACTTAAAAATTGTAGCTATATAGCTACAAGTAAGTATATACTTACTGGATTGCAAGGAGGATACACCAAGCTTTGCTGTTTTGTACGCGAGTGTCGCGCGAGAGACAAACATTACAAAATCAAAACTTGGTCACAAAGAAAAAGTTCGAGACATGGACTTAAAAATGTATCTCAAGAACCTCCACTTCATATAAAGTTGGGACCCATGAAAAACTTTGTGAAAGCTATGAACAAGGATGGTGCAGGCTTTCAAGTCAGTCACAGCCTGTGACTCACAGGATGCTCACAGGGGCCTGGTTGAAGGAAAATATCGGAGACGGCTGTTATTGCTGCTCCCGATATTTCCTGTTCATTGAATATTGCTATTTGCCGAAACATGGGTGCTTGGATTCGAAAATCATCAGGTCCCACGTCCCACTCCCAACAGCAGGTTTCAGGTACAAACCAATATTTATCATGAGCCAAAATAACATGTGACAAAAAAATCATGTATGTGCTTAAGACCACACGATAGAAGTCAAAACTTCAACAAGCGGGGCAAGTCAGTAATAATTAATAGTATGAAATAAATATATTTTTATTCCATTTTGACAGAGTAAAATAACATTTACAATATCGTGGGCTTCAAGCTAAAAGTGATAAAATGAAAGATAAAAAAAGTCCAAAAATTGCCGTTTGGTTGAATAAACAAAAAAATTTTAAGAGTTAAAATTGAAAGACCTAATAATTAATTAAAATTTTGTAAAATCTTGCAGACCCCGGTGTTAAATCTAGATTAAAAGCTTCTAAAAACGGCAAAATTTATTTTAGTTCACCGATTTATCAGTTATGAAAAGAAAATTACAGTCCATATGCAAAAATTTTAAAAATAAAAAAATGGTGTGCCTCACGGGATGCTCGACAGAAGAGATAACTTCATATATTTATAGAAACGATAACATATTGAACTTGGTAAAAAGTTTTGAAATCCCTTTCTAGCTTCGAATTTGGAACACAAATCAAAAAATGAACAAAATTAGCGAAAGTTTATAACAGATTATTTGGAAATCTCGTCACCTCCATGTGAGTTTGTTAAAAAAATGTGGTTTTTTAGTTTTGACTGATTTTTTTTCGTTTTACTTTCTACTCAAAAACGCTCTATTTTGTAAATCGAAAAATCGCATTATTTTTTAGCAGTTTTACTTAAAATAGTGACAATATTCAGGTACTTTCTGTGAAAAATTATGAGCTAAATTTTATTTGAACACTTACCCGCTTTGGAAAAATTTTTAGAAACTTTTTGCTGCTTCGAATTATCGACAAAACTGTAATAATTATTTCTGGGTATTTTTCCAAAAATATTTCCCCGAACTGAAAAACCGAAAGTTTATAATCATTTTTTTGGAAGTCTTGGAAACTGGGATTTCTTCACTTTTAGGTCAATATATCTAAATAACACAGTTAATTAATAAACAGAAAAACCGCCATTTTCTTAACGTTTTACTGTAAAATACTGGCAAACTGATTCTTTTATGCAAAAAAAATCAAATGATCGATTTTTCAAGAAAACTCGTCGAGTTTCTTTAAACTCAGTTCTGTTGCTGGGAAAATCTGTATTACTTTTTATTAGTTGTTTGAACAAAGTAGTAAAACATTACTCAGAAAAAATGTTCTATAAATAAATCACTTATTTGCTCGCGCACCCCTAGCGCCGCCACTGTTCACAATCGACTTTATGCAACCCGATATACATCCCGTCTCTCACATCAAGCCCCCTCCAGCCACGTGACAAATCTGGCACACGTCAATTTCGTTTTTCTATGTGTATTTTGGTATTTTGCCACAGTGTTTCTTGCTTGTTGATCGGGAGTTAATTTCCACTTTCCATTGGCATTTTCGCGAGTTTTTCGTGCGTTTCCTTGAAAGATGTGCCTTGTTAAGTGACGAATATAGTGAGTGCGAAAATGATAGCAAACGGACACGTAGTGGGCGATGGCTCCTGGGATCTACGGGTGTTTGTCACCGATTTGCAGACCGAGAGGCAAATTCGAGTCAAAGGCGACGTCCATATCGGTGGAGTGATGCTGCGACTCGTCGAAGATTTAGGTGAGTCCATTTGAAACGAGTTGTTCCTGCTGTAAATGGCCAAGCCCGGATGCAGCTGGCGTAGTAGGCTGATCTGCCAAGGGAGACCCCATTTGGTGCCCGTGACGCCATCGTATCGTCCACGCGAAATTCAGCATAATTAGCCCAGAAATAGGTGTTGAAATTATCCTAACCTCCAAAAAGGAGGTGTAAAATGATCTTGGTAGGCGTTGGGTCAACTTGCCATTTTGATTGGCCAAATTTCAGTTTGGGAGTTTTCGCACCGACACAAACATTGCGTGATTTATGTGCGGGATTGCTCATTCACTGATTGCCACCAATGTTTCATTCTAATTCATTGAGTTGGAAACTATTCGAAAATTACAGCACTTAATAGACAAATAAAATTAGGTCTGACATTTCTTGACAATATACAGCGTTGTCAAAGTTGTGCTACAACGCATTTTTGGTTAAATAAAATTGCATAAAAAGTTTGTAGTAAATCTGTCTTAAAAATTCGTCAAAAATCGGCAAAATTACAACAACGGAATGAAAACTAAGCTTCTAGATTTATCCGTTTCTGAGCAATAAATTTTCAGGCAAAAGACTGCTTGAAATGGGTTTTGGCAAATGTGCAGTTAAAAAAATCGCCAAAAATTGCTACGGGACTATAACCTACTTACTTACCAATCTTTAAAAAAGTAGTTTCGCTGTCAAACAGCATAAAAAATTGATTTTTTGGGTTTTACCCAGTTCTGAGTGTTTGATTCCTAGACAATGCTGTGAAGCAACGGTCGTCCGGCAAATGGGAATCGTAGAAAATTGTGCAAAAATGCTACTCTATTGAGACTTACTCACAACACAGAGCTACAATATCTTTGTCAAATAGAGCAACATAGTCATCTCTTTAGTTTCATTCAATTCTGAGCAATGGATTTTTCCGCTATTAATTGGAAATATAATTGGTGAAAAATGGGCGATTACAACTATCTCTTTTAGAAATTGTTTAACAAATTTCTGGTCTATAAATAATTATAAATAAATAATCGCAAATATAGCTATATTTCCTTTCTAAAACAGAGTGAAAATCCGCCCTCGAAATTTATCCATTTCTGAGCAATAGATTTTTATGCAACTAATTGGAAACACAATTGCACCAAGAATGGGCGTTTGTAACTCTGTCTTTTAAAAATTCGTGAAGAATCGCTCAAAAATTACTACTCTATTACGACTTACTTACAAAGCGCATAAGTAGTTTCTTTATAAAATTGCAGGGAAACAAAGCTTCTAGATTTAGCCGTTTTTGAGCAATAGATTTTTGGGCAAACACCCGCTAGTAAATGCGTATTTCCAGGTGCCACTTTTAAAATTTTACAAAAAATTATTTAAAACCGCTACTCCATTGATAATTATCATTATCAATGGAGAAATGTCGATTGTGTTAAAGTCTGATAATTTCGATTCTTTCTCATCTTAAGACACTTTGCAGTGTATTTTCAAAGTTTGCTCATTGTCAAGCAATTTATTGAAATGTCGTGGCTCAAAAATTATCGTTCTCACATCAAAAAATATATAATTTTTGACATGGTTGTCTTTTATGGAGCGTTAGAGTTTCGATTTTTCGCTATCATCAATCATTCTGGAACGGGTTTTTGAACGACGCCCGTTTTCAAATTCGGATTTTTTCTGTTTTATGCTCATCTAGAAAAGCTTTCATCCGACACTATGTTGCAATTTTTGGAGGAAAGCCGACTGTACAAAGTGTGGAATTCTCGATTCTTTGTTATCATCAGACATTTTGTAAGATATTTTCAAAGTTTGCTCAGTGGTCACATGGTTTCTTGCAATTTCTGCTCAAAATTTAGCTATTTGTCATAAAAAGAGCTATAAATCGTCACATAACGTCTTGTATAGAAGCAAGTCGGTTGATCTGATTTTTTTAAATTTCGTTTTTGCACCATTAAATATTTGCCAATGTATTTTTTAAACGTGGTCAGATTTTTGCAGTTTCTATTTGAAAATGTATTCTCAGGAGCTCAGCATTGTTGCCATTTATGGAAGAAAGTCCAGGGTTTCAAGTGTGAAGTGTCAGTTTTCCATCGTGATCAGACACTTGCAACATAAGTACTTTCAAAATTTCCACATGTGACAAGCAGCTTCTTGCAATTTCTATTCAAAATTCACTTATGAATCCTCAGGCTGTTGTGAGGACTTATAGAAAAAATTCGGTTTTATGAAGTTTTGCAGTTTCGGCTTTCGTCATCATACAGTGCAATGTATTTTTGAATATGATCAGATTGTTGCCGTTTGTGTTTAAAAAAATAATTTCTGGATATCTAGACATGAAAAGGAAATTGAATGTTTAAAGCGTGATAGTTATCCATAATCACGCGTTATTGACGGCTCTGACATGTGACCACGTGGTCTAAAGTCTAAGGAACGTCAAGTGGCCCGAAATGAATTATTTGGTGTGTGTTTTATACAGATTTCTGGTACCCAGAGGTGGTAAGCAGTTGGAAAACGAATGATTCAGTTATTGCTCTAGAACCATGACTACCACTGGAAATTAGCAATCAATTGCATCAAACGTCTATTATGCGCTCGATTTTCCAAAGGAATGCTTTCGATTTTCCAAAAGAATGCGTTCGATTTGTGCTCAGCTAATTGCGGCCGACGGAACGTCAAACAACAACTGGATTGAATCTCTAGCACATCATGGGTAAATAAGAAACTGGATTTTAGCTCAAAGGCCTGATATGTTTCTAAAATAAACACGCAGGCGACTTGTGCTTATAGTGTTGGCTTTGGAATGCGTATTTAATCCAGATGGTTGCAGACCTGAATACCTGCAACTGTCCATCAGTAGTCCACCCATTATCATGGTGCCAGTGTTCCGATAAAAATGCTAATAATTAGTCTTCAGACCCACGCGGCTTTCAACTGGTTTCACTGGCAGCAGATATTTCAAAGTCGATGTAATTTGCATTCTTCGACGACTTTTAGTAGAGAAAACAAACATTTGTTAAGCGTTTACCAAACCCAACCAAGAGCCCTGAGGGTATTTTTAGAACGATAAATAGGTCACAGCAGTGCTGGTTTCATTTTAAAAAAATACGACGCCAGGCGTAAACGTAAAATGGATGGATTTAGAGGCATATTGCATCGCATCTGGCCAATAAATGCGAAAAAACGGTTTCATAATACCGATTCGAAAGAATGGGACAATTGCCAGATATTCAGGTAGCCTTGAAACGAAATAATTCAGCTTTTATGCTGCTCGTTTGTTTCCTTCTGTTACACTTGGTTTCAAGAGTTTCAGGAGAAAACTCCACTATTATGACGACATTCGGTTGAACATCTGTTTCGAGCATCGCGCCCGCATTAATATTAATTAATCTCCAATTGGTAGGATTTTTGTGTACATTTAAATGACAGCCCAAAATAGGTCACTGTTTATCGAACAAGTGCAATAAATTAAACACCCATTCAACTGGGTAGTAGGTAGGTAGGCCGGGTATATAATATGAGCAATTTTCGCATTTCTATAGGTGTGCGACTGTGTCGCAAGCTTATTGCCAAATCCACTGAAATCGCAGGATTAAGGTCTGAGATACAGGGTGATTTAAAATTCGTCTCATTCCTTTTAAGGGGTCACTCGCGCTTACTTGGAGGACAATTTCCAGCTGTGTTGAACTTGTCGCTTGATGGTCGTTTAGCTTAAAGTACTCTTGAATCGTCTATTAATTAAGCCAGAAAACACTTAGAAAGTTTTACCAAAATCACCATTTTGAGGATCAACTTTTCTCGGTGTTGCCGAACTGTTGGCTAATTCTATAATATATCGTCTGTCCCCAGTTTTTGACAGTGACGTATTTCTCGTTTTTTGGTTATTACTTGTCCACAGAGCGAAACGGAAATTTGAGGCCATATCAAGTTTTGTATTTAATCAAATTATTACATTTTGCGGGAGTTTGATGATGAAATTTTGTCTAATTGCCTAATTGGCAGTGACTTATTACATTTTATGAGTTTTGAAATGCAACCGGTTTTTGAGCAGAAAGCAGTTTCTCAACTAAAATGTATTTTTTTTAAATCAGCGAAAATTGCTCTGAAACTGCAATTTTGGTCAATTAATAGTTCATTTCTCATGTAAATCCAAAATTTCTATTTTTGTTTCCTGTCTGATTACCGGGCACAACAAAAACGGCAATTTTTGAAGCAAATTGGGAAAAATTCACACAAATCAACGAACATTCCTGTAAAACTAAGCACTCTTAATAATTAGAGCCTCTTCTACTAAAATCTAAATATTTATTTGCGTGCTCTTGATTACATTTTATAAATTTTCAAAGGCAACCGCGCATTGAGTAGAAAGCAGTTTTTCAAGCCAATTGTGGAAAATTCTCACAAATCAACGAAAATTCCTGTAGATCTCCATAAATGCACTCTTTATAATTAGAGGCTTCAACGAAAATCAAAATCATCTTTTTAAATCCGGATTTTTGCCGGTTTGGTGAATATTGGCTTACGTAAGCTGCAACCTGAATTTAACACTGCCTACAGGAGACACTTGAGTCCGAAAACACTGCAAATGGCACTAAATCCGGATTTTTGCCGGCTTGGCAAATAATGGATGAAATGGAAAGAATTTACAATACAAAATGCGCTTCACCACATTTGTTAGAATTAAAAATACTTTCATACAATCTACTATCAAAGAATAAAATTTCAAGCGAAAAAAATAGTGTTATACGCATCAACGCTACCAATTTCGTATCATAAATGTCACTGAAGCCGATGAAAATTTGTTGAAATCGCCAAGGAGAGTAAAAATGATGCATATGCAACACACTAAACACCGTGGTTGGCATGTGAAGCCGGCAGGAAAATAGTAGAATTAATTAATTCGCGAGTTCATAACAAACGCTCCCTGGTAGGTAAAATTATAACGACAAGGCAACTAGTAATTTGGCACTTGTTTTGTTGACATTGGTAATGACATCTGATTGTGATTTGTTTTG